GTGCAGAGACCCGCCCTGCCAGCGGCGGCAGAGGTGGAGGGGCGGCAGGAACAGGAAAGGATGTTCAAAAAAGGACACCCACTGTAAAGGTTTCCGCAGTTAAGGGAAACAGTTAAACAAAAAGTTTGCTTTATGTAGGTGATTCTGGTCAGTTACATTTTTTGAGAAATTGGAACACATTTTTCTGTAACAATCAATACCATAAAACTAGATGTCCACCTGTTATTAATTATACCTCCTGAGTTGCAGAGTATTTCACTCTATATAGAGTATGGTGCCAGTTCCTGTTTGGACTTGTCACTCTGGGTCAGCATGGGAACAATTTGCTAGAATCTATAAAACACTGTTTGATGTACAGTGTTTACTGTGATTAAATACCTTGCTACCAAATTCCTATAAAACATTTTTCAATGCAGCTAGAAGTGTACTCCCTAGACACTAGTGATTTTCACATTTCCCTATGCTAAAAGAATGGGCATTTCAAGTGAATTTCGTTCAAGATATGGTAGAAACTGTTCATAGTAAACAAGACAGACTTTCTAACTTTTTAACATCCGGTTTAATATTTTAAAACAAACCCAATATATCTTCCCATCATATCACATGATATCATGGAAATGCACCTAGACACCCTCAGCTGCCTTGAGATCAATTAAGTTGGCAATGCTGATGCACCATTCTAACGATTCCTTTCATAGGGTTGAGAGTACACTGATACTCCTGGAAGAGACACCACAAGCCCACAGGATATCACTTAGGTGAACCTCCCAGGGGAAACAGATAGAGGGAATGAAGCGGAACTCCTAATACCCCACTTATGGCCCTCAGATACACTAAATCCCACCTTTTCCAGTTATCTTCCCTTACCTCCCCCTCCACTTTGTTCTTTCCCCTTTATCTCTCCTTTCACCCCCTTCCTCTATCTATTTACCCCTCCCCCTTACTTCACTTAACCTGGCAAATGGTCGCCGGACGGTGAGGTTGATCCTCAAATGTTTCTCACATTCAGTGTTTGAACACACGGGGATAATTCACAAGTCTTTTTCTTTTCTTGAATTAATTCTACAGTTTATTATTTGTAAATACTGTATTTACTTAAAGTGACATTAAAGTTAAGTTTTTTCCCCTCCCCCCATGTTAATGTTAGCACTTACCTTAAATGATGTCTCTTATTCCGATCTTCTTCTTCTTTCCTGATGTTTTCATCTGTCCCTCCAGCGGTGCGGCGGGTCTCCGATCCAGCGCTGACTCCTCTCTGCGTGCAGGCACTTCCGATCCAGCGCTGTCTGCATGCGGGTGCAAGCGGCCAAAGACTTACCCTGCTCGTCTCCCGCCGAGAATCCGTACTGCGCATGTGCCCGCCCCAAGATCCTTTGCGGCCGCACGAGCAGTTCTTGATTCCCGGCGCAGGAGCGCGCAGCGATAACGAGGTAAGTTTAAACCGCTGTTAAAGCAGGTTTTTTTTTATTTTAAACTTTTTGCCTATATCTACTGCTTGCCAGCAGTAGATATAGGCAAAAAAAACGGTGGGTTTAGAACCCCTTTAAGGACGTTGTTTTTGGAATGCCTCTATCAATATTGTCAAACCATCTTGTTTCAATGCTTTACCTGTAACTGATAATTGTGCACTGTAACTCCTGAACTGAAGTTTTTATCTTTGAAAAATGTTTATAATAAAGCTTGACATTTTTTTTTAATTTTTTTTTAGTAGTGGTCCCTAATGTTACCCCCTACTTATATGTAAATATCAATTATAACTTTCACTGATACCTGTATCTTAGGCTACAGCTATTAAAAAGAAGAAAAGTTGCAATACCAACTACTAGCTCACTAATTCCAGTGTGATGTTAAAAATTAAATTAAATATAAAAGCAGTTTTTATAAAAAAATATTTCATTTAGGGAGATATACTCATAAGGCTCATAAGACCTATTCCAGTACAAAACACAACAGTATTTTTACACTACAGCTTGCAGAAGCAATATATATAACCCTTTTTTTCTGGTTTCTCCAATGAGCAACTTCTTAGCTCCAACCTAATTTCTTAGGGTGATCCAGTAGCCCAGCAGGGCTATCTGAGAAGTGACACATGTCAGGCTTGTGTTTGCTTCAAATGGCTTTCACATTCCCATACACATCTATAAAAATGCAAAAACCACTTGAAGCAGGTCAAAGTCAGGTCAGAAGAAGGTTAACCACAGGTCAAATGCACCTGTCAATGAATAAATGATCTTAGATCTTGTCCCAGGAGGGAATGTCGGCACCTTGGTGGTTAACGGGCCCCTCCAAGTGGTGGAACACCAGGGCCCAGTCGCAGCTGCGACTCTGGTAGTTCCACCACTTGGGGGTGCCCAGACAGGAAGAAGAGGGCCCTGTTAACCACCTCAGCTCCCAACATGCAGCAGGCCAACTCTCCGCAGCTCCTTCCCATGGCAGTTGGGGGGGCCCTTCATGGTTTCTTGCACCGGGGGACCTGAAGTCTCTAGTTACACCTCTGACAAAGATCTTTGTTCAGGATTGCCAGGATTACCAGGTATTATTTTATTTAAATCTGCAGATCTCAATATATTGAAAATTCTTTTTGAATTGCAATTCCATTAACGTGAAATGTTATACAATATTTATGAGATTTTAGCAATTTGGTTTACTTTAATGGACTCATAGTCTGTTTTAGACAAACTTTGTCCAGCAGGTGGCATTGCAGATCTTTTTTTTTGTAGCTCATCTGAAAAAATTAATATTTATATATTTAACTTTAATTGTTTAATTTCTCCCTGAAGTCTCTCGATACCACAAAACACCAATGTCAGTATACTATGTTTGAGTATTCATGTATTTAATATCAGGATAAAGGGAGGTTATAAGATATAGAATATAAAATGCAATCCAAAATGAAATGTTTGTTATTTTCCTTTCTTTTCTTTGACAATATAAGTAGATCTTATATTGCAAGAGAAGACTTGATGAATGAGAAAACAGAAAATTGCAGAAAAAAAAGTAAATATATATGGGGGTGGCCAGTCATTCAAGTGAACCTGTTGTTTTGCCCTGCATAGATTCTCTTTGACTCTTTTGACACAACAGAGTGGAGGGAAGTACAGGCACAATCCAACTGCCTTTGAATGGCAGATTCTGCACCCATTCAAGTTTCATCTAAGGGGTGGGAGAGATGAACTATAGAGACCGCTACCATCAACAATTATGACAGACAGGGTTTTCTAGCCTGTCTGATTGCTGATTCCCCAAGCAGCCTTGGCCAGAAGTGTCTGCAGTCTAATAGATTTTATAATATCATTGTCAAATCCAGTCAAATATCTCTGTTATGAAATAGCCAGTAGCTAAATTAGCAGGTAAGCCATAAAGTGGCCATAAAGTGGAAATCTGTTACAAAGCAAACAGCCTGACAATGACCCTGCAGTTCTACAGGCAGGCAGGGAAGGCATATCAATACTATGTGGAACGTATGAGTGATACATTAGCCATCTGAAATACTGTGATTTCTGTATCTCCCAATCAAAACCTTGATTTACCATACCTGCTAACTGTAGTTGTAATTGCCTGAGAGTGAACTTTGACACTGATCCTCGGTCCAAATCTGATCTTCACTCCATTTGTACATTATTCTAGGCTAGTTTGGTATTTGCTTAAACCAGCATGTAAAGATTTGCATCCGTGTAGGCTAAGGTGTTGAACATAGTCAGCTTCTAATGATCAAATGCAACAGTGCTTGTTTAAAGTTGAACTCAAGGAAAAATTCAAAACTACCTCTGCAGTGGGGCTACCCGCCAACAGCAAGGGTTAATGCTCATTTGTGATAAGGCTACCTTTAAATGCAGTTTCACTTACCTTATCCCATGCTCCCTCAGGCTTCCTCCTTTTCATGCATCAGATTCCCCTGAAGCTCCTTCTCTTCAGTGCTACGTCTGTTGATGGCACTATGACATGGCACCTACCTACGTGTGGACACCTAGAGTCCGCCCACAACCCAGAGCATCAGAAAGAAGAGGGGGCTGTTGGAGGAGTTAGATGGGTGTAGGGTAAATAAGACTGCTTTTTAACTGTATTCTACCCAAAAACAAGCATTTAACCCTTGCAGTGCGGGAGAGCCTTACTGCAAGGGTAGTTTTGAATCTTCCCTGGAGTTCAGCTTTAAGAGCTCTTTCACACCATCTGCATTCAGGATGTGCTGGCTGTTTTTTCCAGTGCAGCCCGAACACAAGACAAGGCAATTTGAATGGTGATAGTTACACCACTGCATTCCGGTGGTGTGCGTTTAAAAAAACTATGGCATGCAGTACTTTTTTAAGCACACCGCAGTGAGATGCGGTGCAACCGCATTGCACTGCTGCGAGCCCATAGCACTTAAGAAATGTCACATATGACATTTCAATAAAGTTCTAACAAAAAAAAAAGAATCGATCGAGTGCATCGGTACTGTATGGGCACACGCACACCAGCAGCCATGCAATTGAGTGCGGCTGCTGGCGTGAACAACCCCTCAAATGTGTTTTTAAAGAGACATTGTGACTTTGCCCATTCACTGACATGCACTTTGCCAGCCTTTCCCTACCTGCCTGTGTAAACACCCAGTGCATCCTAAATGGGCAAAGTGCAAGTGTCTCTTTAAATTTTTTTAAATGCATATTTAAGGGTTGTTCTACTTCTTCCTATACTGATACCAGTTCTACCATTTTGAATCAGATAGGTATTTTCAATGGAGAATGGGTTGCAAGGTTTGCTCATATAAATGATATTCATCATGTCATCACTTAGGGTTTCTGTGAAATTCCTAGAATTCCTTGCTTGAATTCCTTAGATACTTTTATGTGTATCTAACCATCTGTATTTGAACAGAAGCAAAAGTCACATGTATAAAAGATCCAGTTGGGTTTCTAAGGTAACGACATCTTATCAGGTTCAAATGCTTTTAATGCACTATAAATGGATGACAATTATGCACTAGTTAAATATTAAAGTCGTGCGCTTACATTGTTTTTCAGCCAAAATGCCATTTGTACGAACTGCCTGGATGTCCAAGGAACTTTGAACCTGTTTGTGGAACCGATGGAAAATCCTATTCCAATGAGTGCATGCTGTGTGCCTCAAATAGGTAAAATGCAGATTGTTGTTAGTAATCCATTTGTTTTTTAATGCAACACAAATCTGTATGATGAAAATCTTACATTCCATTATTGCAAATATAAACTCACTGGCCACTTTATTAAGTACACCTTGCTGGTACTGGGTTGGGCCCCTTTTGTCTTCAGAACTGCCTCAATTCTTTGTGGGACTGATTCAACAAGGTGATGGAAAGATTCCTTAGAGAGTTTGGTCCATACTGACATGATAGCATCACACAAGTTGCTGCAGATTTGTCAGCTGCACATCCATGATGTGAAACTCCACCAGCCTAAACCATTGATGTAAGGCAGGATGGATCCATGCTTCATGTTGTTTACATCAAATTCTGACCCGACCATCCAAATGTTACAACAGAAATCGAGACTCATCAGACCAGGCAACGTTTTTCCAATCTTCTATTGTCCAATTTTAGTGAGCCCTGGCAAATTGTAGCCTCTGTTTCCTGTTCTTAGCTGACAGAAGTGGTACCCAGTGTGGTCTTCTGTGGCTGTAGCCCACCTGCTTCAAGGTTCAATGTGTTGTGTGTTCAGAGATGGTATTCTGCATACCTCGGGTGTAACGGGTCATTTGAGTTACTGTTGCCTTTCTATCAGCTTTAACCAGTCTGGCCATTTTCCTCTGACCTCTGACATCAACAAAGTATTCTTGCCCAGAGAGCTGCCGCTCACTGGATATTTTCTCTTTTTCAGACCATTCTCTGTCAACATTAGACTGTGAAAATCCCAGTAGATCAGCAGCACAAATGTTAATGTTTATGGCACAAACCAGCACATACATAGAACTAACCAGTCAACCCAGTTCCATGTCTTTTGGCTGTTGTAGGGGCACTGGGTGACCTTTGGTGACATTTAATAAATAGGCACTAACTTGGAAACGAAAGGAGATAGAACGGAGATTTAAATGGTATAAAACCAGCACACATGTGTCACTAACCAACCAGCCCGGTTTAATGTCCGTTGGCTGTTATAGGGGGGCTGGGTGGCCTTTGGTGACCTTTTAATAAATAGTTAATAACTCAAAAACAATAGGAGATAGAATGGAGACGGCACAAACCAGCACAATTGTGGCACTAACCATCCAGCCTGGTTTCATGTTTTTCTGTTGCTGTTGTAGGGGGGCTGGGTGATCTCATCATCTTAAAAAAACAATTGCTATTATCTTAACAATAGAAGCAGCACAAATGTAAATTTTTACGGCACAAAACAGCACAAACGTAGCACTAAAGAAACTAAAGAGTTTTTATTTGTGCAGATTGTAGGGGGTCCAGCGTCACTGAGCTAGTCTCCAGCAACTGTCCATCTACTAGCGTGGAGAAGGATAGAAGGAGATGCAGGAAAGTGGCCTGCCTTACTGTGTTTGTGGACAAGTAATAGAAAGTCACTCACACTCCAACTTGATTCTCAGTCAATATTTGACCTTAGTGGTGTCACGTTGTGGAAGCGACGTTTCGGGAACCGCACGGTCCCTTCTTCAGGCAAACAAAGCACTCAGTGATGTTGCTTTTACAAAGTGACACCACTGAGGTCAAATAAAATATTGACTGAGAATCAAGTTGGAGTGCGAGTGACTTTCTTTTACTTGTTTATTGTTCTGTAGAGGCATCTGCGGTCACTTCAGCACCCATATGATATTGGAGGGTATAATCCGGTCAGGAGTGCGAAGGGTCCCATTGAATATTGAACTGTGTGTTTGTGGAGACACACACACAGCTTACTAGGGTGGCTTCATAGGATGGAAAGGAGACACCCTAAAACAGGATATCAGGACCACTGCTCAGGGGACCGGCTGCAGGAAACTAAAACTTTAAAATATCAAGGAGAAGCATCCATTAAAAGTGATTTAATCAGCATTTGAAACAGCTTAAAAACCTTTAGACTTTAATATCACTTTAACTAAATCGCCTGACCTGTATCTGCATACTTATGCATTGTGCTGCTTCCACATGATTGGTTAATTAGATAAATGTATGAATAAGCAGGTGCACCTAATAACATGCTCGGTAAGTGGTTGTTCACACATTGATTTGAGTTAAAGAATCACTAGATTTTGTTTTATATGTTGCAGAGCAAATAAATACATTAGCATGAAATATCATAGAACTTCTCTCCCACCAGTGCTTTCAGATAACAGAGCATTTCACTGGCACAATGACATATGCAGGCAGCAAGAGGTGACAGGTCATGAGACGTTAGGGCTGAAACACGCTGTGCTGTGGTGCAATTCAGTAACACACTTGTGAATGCATGTTACATGCATCAGCACATTGCAGGGCTATTCCTTTACAATGGCATCCCAACGCACTAAGGCAACACAGATCCGATGCACATATGTTGCAACCTACCACAATGCATGGAAATGCACTATCATGCCTTGTGGTGCACTGCGCTAGGAAAAAAAATGCTGCATGTCTGTTTTTGGTCTCTTCTTGTGCATTGGCAGCCCATGGACTTCCATAATGCAACACACAACATACAGTAAGGTATATAACATTATAACGTTATATATAAAAAATATAGCAACACAATGCAACACCTGTTATGCAACACACATAAACGCAACACACAGAAATGGAGAAGTGTGGATTGGCCCTAAAGTGGGCACCTCAGACAACACCGGTGCTATGATCACCAGTTACCCCCTTATTGCAAATCATAAGTGCCATAAATGCCTGGTGTGTTCAGTCCATATTGTGGTAATAAAAGGTCCAACAATAACAGGTGTTATTTACAATCCTAGAGAAGGAAATAGTGCTTCAGTTGCCCTTGGCAACCAATCATATTTAATTTACCATAAATCAGCCCAAATATAACGTTGCTATAACGTTTTATACTTACATACTTTACTGTATGAAGTGACAATAAAGTCAATATGTTTTTACACTATTTCAAATGCTGATGAAATCACTGACAATGGATGCTGCTTCTTGATGTTTAAAAGTTTTAGCTTCCTGCAGAATCAGCTGGTCCCCTGAGCACTGGCCCTGATATCCTGTTTTAGGGTGGCTTCTTTGTCTTGTAGAGTCCTATGGACCCCCCCCCCCCTTGTGTGTGCTAGTAAGCTGTGTGTGTCTTTACAAACACACAGGCAAGCGAGGCAAGCCACTTCTCTTGCCCCTGCTCCTCCTTTCTAGTAGATGAACAGCTGCTGGAGTCTGCTCTGTCCCTTCTAAATTTTGTACTGGACAGAAAGTTCAGGGTAGCTGAGCTGAGAGGGTTGGAGCCAGCTGTTCAGAAAAATGATCACCGTAAGTGCTTGGGTGCAAATGTACAGAAATACATTGCTGGGCAATGTATATTTGTTTGATCTGAATTAGTTATTGAAAAAAAGGATTGAGCATTTAATACTAATTTAACATAGGAGATATGATTTCAGCATGGAAATAAAAACTTGTAGGAGAATGTGGGGGCCTTGCACCTTTTATTTCCTGTATCACCCACTGGAAAGTTTATAGAATATATAAAACAATCATCAAAACTAAGCGTATTAGTAACAGTTTGTTGATGAGACAATGTTGCACTGAGCAAAGACAACGTAGAACAGGCACTTAGTGTTATATGGTTAATGGCACATTACTTTCAAGTGGACTCTATTTTCAGCCTTGGCAGTGCTTAGTAACTATGTCAATATTTAGGATATGCTGAGTACTTGATAAAGAATCATAAAGATACTGGTGCTACATGGATAACGTTTAATGTATTTGCTTTCTCCACAGAGAGAATAGACAGAAGGTCCAGATTAAATCGCCACATTTATGCTAATGCACTCCTATTCCACCTTCCGAAGCTTCAGACTTTTTCACAATCATCACCTGGATAGAACTTTACTCGCATATTAACATTTGTCACAAATATAAAAATGTGTTGTTAGAATGAAGAAAAACAAATGTTTATGCATGGTTTTTAATCCTCAACTGTGTAAAGTGAAACTTTAGCAAACAGATAAATAAGCAGTTCAAATACAAACAGCAAACTTTCTATTTTACCTACCAAAGGATTTTAAGAGGAGCGCCAGGCAATTCAAAAAATAACCCTTGCACTGTGGCTGTCAGAGTCGTGCAATGCCCCATGGGATTTGTAGTTGCACCACAGCTGGAGGGCCAGAGTTTGCCCACCCCTGGTCTATGGGGCTAAAATAAATAAAATATACTTACCTGATCCTTGGTCCTGCTTGGTTGCTAAAATGTCCTGGCAGTCCCCCCCAGGCTCCCACAGTCAGGCACACCATATCTAATGCAACTATATTAGAGGACATCCAAGGTCATTCCACCGCCAGAGTGGAGGGGAAGAGAGGTGAGTGGTTATCACCGCCGGACTGAGGATCAAGCGAGTATATATTCTTTATTCTAGCCCCTAAACCAAAGGAGCAGTTAACTCTTGCAGTGCTGGGGTAGCCCATATGGGTTTGTTTTTTTATTGCCTTGAGTTCTTCTCTTTAGGTTGGCCATCAACTGGTAGGTTTTCATATGAATGTTCAATCTCATCATTCCATAATGCCATCATAGACATGATGAATGTGGTTCAAAATTTCATTTGATTTTAGAAATTAATGGATTTTCCATCCCGCTCCCTTAATTTTGTCACTATGGATAAAAACGAATGTCAAATTGACCCCATTGACTATTGGAAAATTAAAGGAATGTGGTGATGTCACTGAATTATTGTTCATGGAGAAGGCAGACTGGTGGCACAAGAAACTAATTTGCTGAAGCAGGAAATAGCTGTGTCTTGTGCCTGACTGAAAACTCTGAATATCCTTTCGGAAGTGAAATGGCAAACACATATGTGTATGTAAACTGTGTATTTACTGTAGCTGTTCGCTTTATTATCATTCTGTTGATCCACACATTAATTTGCTATTAGCAAGCAGTTGTTTTTTTTTGTCAGCATGTTACCAAAACTTATAGCTGTTGTTAGCTCGAACTATTCTTTTGGACTGGTAATTTAATATTTAGATTGTATAAAAATAAATAGATTATTGCTTCTGCCAATCATATTCCTGTAGCGCTCACCCTTCAAACGAGCCGCTGGAATAAGCGGGTTCTTCTGTCCTACACCAGGATAACTCGCACACACAGGATCCACAGCACACCAACACACCTTGTGGGGTTTTGTAAAAGCTTTACTAAACAAATAATGTTCTGTAAATGACCTACAAAGGAAATAAAGAGCAGTAGCAAAACTAAACAGCTTGTAACAAACACTCTTTTGGTAAATAATGCACTATACAGTGCTGAGCTATCTGAATAGTTTGCCACTGACTCTGGATCCTGGGCTACTAATGGCTCAGTCCCAAATGTCCCCCAGATCCCTGCGCTACTGGCCAGTAGTAGTACTTTTAGGCTAGCCAATGTTGGGACTCACACTGTGTCACAGATGCAATCAACTTTAATAAATGAAGGTGGCCAAAGGCCTCTCACCGGCCCTGCGACTTGATCCTTGCAGTAGTCTCTGCTCAGGGATGGAGGATCACTATCTTATGTAGCAGCTGTGCAGACCCCTCAGGATTCGTTCTGTAGCATGAGGATAGTAGAGTCTCAGGGATATGGCGGTCCCAGGATCCGATCGTTCAGCCAGGCCGCAGTCTTACCTCTGCACTGGATCAGTCAGTTCTCTCACAGGGGATGGATCCACAGCCACTAAGCAGGAGGGCTGGCAGTGTCTCTCTCCTCCTGAGAACATTCTGATCATCCTGATCATCTGGCAGGAATCAGTGCAGCTCCGTACAGGGTCTATATCTCTCCCTGTAATAATGTCCAGCAGCTCACAGAGGTCGTTCTGCTGCCTCTCCACAGCGGACTCAGCTCACTCCTCCTGCAAATCCCCAAGCCTCCTGGTAACTGTAGTTTAATCAGTTCAATCTGATACAGTCTCTCACTGGCTCTGTACTAACACATCCACAAGTCCCACTGGCTCACAGACTGCACAGCACAATTAACTCTTCACAAGCGGAATACATTTAGTTTATTAGCAACTCTATAGGGGCTATACCTTTTAGTATTGAATCTTTGATACAAATGTAATATTGCATATAAAACTAATGTATATATATATATATATGTATATATATATTGTATATACTGTATATACACTGTACTATAGTATACTGTACTTACTTCATATCCTTGATTATGCAAATAAACATTTTTGTTGCTTCATCCCTTGGTGGGACAAAAAGAAAAAAAACACTGCACAATACTGAAGAACAACAATTTTGGGCAACCCCAGTTTTTCTCAAGTTCAGTGTGTGCACAATCAATACCATAAATCACATTTAACTCCCCAAAAGGAAATACATCATAGTTACCAGGTGACCGATATATACAATTAAAGCGTCCATTTATAACTTTACAAATACAATCAAGAGAAACGTCCTCCCTCGCTGCAGCCACATTTCAAGTATCTGAAGAAGAAAGGAATAAAATCACACTCAATCATCACTTCATAGTGAACACAGTATACTGTATGTAACATTTTAAGTATTAAAAATGGATTGACTGATATTTTGTTCAGATACTTGAAATGTGGTTGAAGCGGTGGAGAATATTTCTTCTGATCAGGTTTGCAAAGTCGTGAATGAACTACGATGCTTTGATTGTATACACAGGAACAGCGCATACAGACCCTGGTGGGTCTCTGCTAAAGGTGAGGTGCATTCCAGAAGATTTCTCTGTTGATGGTCACAGGAGACTAAGGGGTCTATTCACAAAGCTGCCGAAGGATCTGGCCGTAGCTTCGGCCGATCCTTCGGCTAGCTTCGGCACCAGGACCCCTTCGGTTCAGGAGAACCGAGGGGGTGCTTACGGGCTATTCACAATAGCCAGTACAGCTCCCGATCACGGCCGAGCGGCTCAAACACAGATTTCAGCTGCTGCTTAACTTGATTAGAGTAGTGGTGCGAGGTTTCACATTATTCTCTTGATTGTATACATTGTTCACCTGGTAACTATTACCTTTTTCCTCTTGGGGGAGTTAAATGTGATTCATGGTATTGATTTTACACACCCTAAACTTGAGAAAGTGGGAATGCTCAAAACTGTAGTTCTTCTTTATTGTATAGCAATACTTTTTTAATTTCAAGTATAAAGTGACACTAAACTCAGGAGTTAAAACTTAAAAATACATTTAAGTACATTAACTATTAACAATACTGTAGCTTACTTGTGCATCACTCAGGTGTAGATCCTCAAATCATCTCTGAATTGCTGCTGACACTGTCCTTCCTTCTGGAGGGTGACTACTTTTGTTCGCCATGGTCCCCGTGTGTGTTGTAAAGTAGTCACCACTCCAAGCTCACTCCCATGATGGACTACAATCTTACGTTTCGTTTACTGAACTAAACTAATTTAATAATTAAATTAATAATTTGTATTAAGATTGTAGTCCATCACAGGAGTGAACTTGGAGGGGTGGTTACTTTACAACACACAGAGGGACCATGGGGAACAAAAGCATCCAACCTCCAGAAGGAAGGACAGTGTCAGCACCAATTCAGAGATGATTTGAGGAAATACAGCCGAGTAATTTACAAATAAGATACATTTTTGTAAAAGGTTGGGCCCTTGATTGCATTCTTAAGATTTAACTCCTGAGTTTAGTGTCATTTCAAGGATGGTATATGGCATCCCATTTTTGGAATTTATTAATCTATTGCAGTAAAATTGGTACATACACAGACATGTTAAAAGGTCTTTCTACTCAATCAACTAAAAATGTCTCAATACATCACTAAAAATACCATCAAAAAGCATTTCCATGCAATGTGTTTCTTCTTGTTTGTCTGTCAGTAAAAAAAATAGTGCACTTCCACCACTAGCCTTCTAAATACAGAACTCACTAGAACATGTATAGACCCCTAACTTAATAGAGAATTTTGCAACATATTGTAGCAGGATTTCTTCAGTTGTAGTTCCTTTTCTTATATTATAGCTCAATCCACTATGGCATTTTCTTTTCTCAATTCTTCCATTAAAGTTTAACCTCATAAAATATAGTAGATCTTATTTTTTATTAAACGAATTAAAATATAAATAACTTACATTTGTCTGTGCATAGGGTAATCAAAATCTTAAAGCAGCTATTTCAGGAATCTACAATTATTCAAAAAGCTCTTCCTGCAAAAGAAGAGAGTAAATACCCGGATCTCGCCGATGCCCTTATCCCCAACTCCCTTTTGTTGAGGAGAATTCTCTTCTGAGGTATGCTGAGAAACTCACACTTCTAGGAGCCAGCAGAGAGTACAGGAGATAAGGAGGGGAGCTGCTACTAGTGCTAATACATGTCCAATATGTAGAGATACCGAAACATCTGACATGTATGTATCATGTGACGTTATGCACCCACTTCCAGGATGTGTTTTATTTTTATTAATTTTTTTATTTTTCTATTATTTTTTTTATTTTTTTTTATATTTTTCATTTTTTACTGTTGGGGGGCTTCAGGGAAATATCAGGAGTAAAATAGACCCCTGCTATTTCCCTTTTCAAATAGAAAAAGAAATTGAGGACACAGAGTTCTCTATCTCTTTTTCTGCAGCCTCTGTTCTAAATGAATGGAAAGCCCTCAGTACAGAGTCTTTCCATTAATTAAAAAACTGATGATGGTAAAATATTTACTAATCAACCAGTTATGAATGGATAGAAGCCTCTTTACTGAGTGCTACTACTACCCATTCAGAAACTCATGAATGAACAGGAAGTAATGTAAAGCACTTCCTGTTCATTCATAACTGGGGACACATAGTGCTATGTGTCCCCAGTTATTTACAAACATTGGAGTGATCAATTGATCAATTGATCA